AAATGTTTTGAGAAACGATGTACAAATGCGCTTTACACAATTGATGTGTGTATGGATTGGGATAACAGTTGTATGAGCCCCTAATAAAATGTTAAAAAAACAAAACAAAACAAAAAACATAGCTTCTGGAACAAGACTGTCCAGATTTTAACCCTGACTTTGCCTTTTACTAATTGATGACTTCCCAGTCTACTTTCCCTCACTTGCAAGATGGGACTAACAATAGCACCTGTAGTGGGCTGCTGTGCAGATGAAGGGCTTTGATGCTGGTTGTCCTAGCTAGCTCCAGACTACTTGCACAAGGAGCATCTCACACCGGGTGGCTTCAAACAATAGAAATCTATTCAGTCACATGATATTGCAGGCCAGCCCTCCAAACTGAAGGTGTCCAGCGCTCTCTGAAGGCTCTAGGCTACAATTCTTTTTTTTGTGTGTGTGACCTTTTCTTAACCTTGGGGTGGATTCCCTGGCTGGTAGCAGCATGCTACCAGGATTTGCTTATGCCTTCTCATGGCCACCTTCCCGCTGAGCCGATGTCTCTTTTCCTCTGTATCAGCACACCAGCCATTCTGAATTAGGGCTCACCTACTCCAGTGTGACCTCCAGCTAACATTAATGGTACTTCTAAACACGAATATTTCCAAACAAGGTCACAGTCACGGATATCAGGGTTTAGGACATCAGTATTTTTTTCGTTTTTCGGGGCACAATCCAACCTATTCTACAGGGAGCTCTTAAAACAGGGCTCGCTGTTCCCAACGAACAATCTTCAACCTTGTTGCTCTTCAGCTCTCGCTCTGAATCTGTGATCTCAGCTCCAGCTAAGAGTCTGTTGGTTTCCCCACCTGACCATGTGCACATGTGAATTCCTGTCTTCCACAAGGAGTGCCTGTTCCTGTTAGCCTTGAAGTTAGCTGAAGTCGAACTGCGAACAACTCTTCTCGTACAGATTGCTCCTGTTACGTTTCACCTCACTGGTGCCATTTGAGTGGCACTGATTTGTGATTCCCAGCTTTTGGCACAAGTGCACTCTAGTGATATAGTTGGTGGTGATGCTGAGGATTGAGGCGGGGACCAGGAGGGACTTGGGGAGTATTTGGGCTCCAAGATGGTGTATTAAAGTTTCTCTTTTTCCAGCAGAGGACCCCCCTGTTGGAAGTAAAAGGGAACAAGGCCCCTTCTCGACTGCCTGTTTCAGGAAGCAAGCTCAAGAGGGGGCCTGACCAGATGGAGAATGCCCTGGAGCCTGAGAAGGTGAGCTGGTTTGGAAGGGGTTGTGTGTGTGTGTGTGTGTGTGTGTGTGTGTGTGTCTGACAAACAGGGAGGGGAGGGTCATTATGGACCCCGTTCTTGTCTCCCCAGAAACGGATACGAGGCCTGGGCCCAGTGAACAAAGTGATCACCACGTCCCGTTCCAAAGCGCCCCCTCTGGTGGCTCTGCCGCCGACACGAGGCCAGAGCGCAGGTTCGTGGACCAAGGGCTGGCAGTCCTCTGTTGCCCGCTTACTCGCTTCTTTCTTTCTTTCTTTCATTGTACTTTATTTGGAATACGTCATACACTTCACCTGCTTGGAAGTTCAAAAGACATAGCTTGTTATACAATGAAGTGCCCCCTTCTACCTTGTCCACCCCCCCACCCCACCCCACCCCCGCTGCTCTCCCCAGAAGGAACTACTCTAAGGTTACACTATGGGTATTCTAGCAAATAGAGACCCATTCCCACCCTCGTTAGTCTTGTTTACACAGTTGGTACCATACTTTCTCTAGGAGTCTAGCCTTTCCTCCCACATCCTGCTTCGTTTTGCTGATCTTGATCCAATTGATGGTACAACAAGTTGGCCACTTCAACCGGAAGTGAATCTTCCGGTTGAAGTTGTGATCTTCAGGAAAGGCAACACTCCTGTTCTCGGTCCAGCCAGTGTATATGCCATCTTGAGAATGATTGTTCTACGTTTCCCTCTTTCCCATCTCCCAACAGCCCAGAAAGTCCTCAAGAAAACAGTGCCACGGCATTCTACAGCTGTAGCCACAGGTAATAAATGGAATTTACAAGCTGGGGCTGAGGAGGGGACATGAGGAATATGTGGGCGGTTGGGGGTGGGGGGGTGGAAGTAGGACTCCTAGAATGCTCCATGTCAAATCCTTCACTCCCTAGTGCCCAAGAGCAAGAATCCAGTTGCAGCTGTTCCTGCCCAGAAGACTGATAGTAGGTGACAAATGTGACTATCGGGTGAGATGTTGAGCCATAGGGAAGATACCTAGGAAATTCCATTTGGTCTTTTTCCTATCTGCAAAGGAAGGAGATATATGTAGTTTTAAGAGTAGGGGCCCCGAAATGCTAGGACTGTGCCCTTGTCACGGATCTTTGTCTTTTCTGTACCCATCTTAGCATCAGCTGGCCCTCCCGTGACGGGGTGGAAAAAACCTAACAAACGTCCAGGCTGGGACTTAAAGGGTCAGTTAAGTGACCTAAATGTAGAGCTGAAACACTACCGTGAGAGGACACAAACATTGGACCAGGAGAACCAGCAGCTGCAGGCCCAGCTCAGAGAAGCCCAGCATCAGGCCACGGCCACAGGGGAGGAATGCAGGACACTGGCACATGAGTTAGCCGAGGTGCGCGTGCAGGCAGAGCAAGGCCAGCAGGAGCTGGGAACCCTGAGCGCCCGTGTCCTGGAGCTGGAAGCGCAGCTGGACACGCAGGAGGGCTTGGTGCAAGCACTCCAGAAAGAGCAGTTGGAGTTGCATGAAGCGCGGAGGGGCCTGGCCGCCCGGCTAGAGGAGCAGGAGGTAAGGGCTGGGTTCTCACAAAATGCCAACCCTCTTAGCAGAGGGTCTGTGCCCTGCTCTGCCCCTTTCCAGATTCCCCTGAAGCCTCTTGGCTCTCAGAATCTCTGACCACCCACCGCTCCCTCTGTCTTCTGCCCGCCTCTGCCCCAGTCCACCCCTGGCTCCGCCTTGCTCGCTGCTCCCCTGCTCTCTGGTGTCACTCCCACCCGGGTCTGCGTCTAGCCTGGCCCTCCGTCCTCCGCTTCCTGTAGGTCCCCGTTTGATCACGAGCCCCAGGACGCTCTTCTTTCCCTCGCACTCCGCCCGGTAGTCTCCTTCTGGTGAGCACCGACAGGTACACTCAGGTGCCTGAGCTCCCGCGGCTGCGCAGTTTGCATCGGGGATTCTGCCGTTCTGCAGTGTGCTCTTCTCCACCCTTCCGTGGGGTCATTCCGACACGTTTTTTCCTTCTCCACGCACATACTTTTTTTTTTAGCCATTAATGATCTTTTAATTGTTAATAGAAGATTTTAATTTCATTTTTAGTTCAGCCGCTTACAAACTGTGAATTTAAGCAATGGATCTATCTCTTTTACACAAAGTCTCAGTTTCTTAGTAATGAATTTAGAATAATTCTGCCTCCTCTACAGGCTCTGTAAAAGGATGAGATGAAATCACTCAAACCTCCTGCCGTCTGTTCCAACCCTTCGCAGTGCTGCAGGGGCAGGGTCGGACTGCGCCTGTGGGTGTCTGAGACTGTACCTCTTCTCTAGGGGGTGACAGGCTCGTCTCTCCCAGTCTACTCATGTACCGTTGTGACTTCACTGTTGCTTCCTTCCGTGTGCTCCTGCTGGGTCTTCCCCGGGCACTCCCCACCCGGCACAAGTCCTCTGTTAGCACTTGTCCTCACTAGACTGAGTTCACTGGAGGCGGGGGCCCGACTTCAGCCTGTTTTGACCCTGTGACTTGATCTCCTTCTTGGTCTTGTGTTCCCCCTTTCCATCTGCCCTGCTGTGGGCAGAGGCGGCTGAAGGCATCCGAAATGGCTCTGTCAAGCAGCCAGGCGGAGGTGGCATCTCTGCGCCAGGAGACTGCAGCCCAGGCGGCGTTGCTGGCTGAGCGAGGAGACCGTCTTCACGGGCTGGAGATGGAGCGCCGGCGACTGCACAATCAGCTGCAGGAACTCAAGGGCAACATCCGTGTATTTTGCCGGGTCCGCCCTGTCCTTCTGGGAGAGCCCATCCCACCTGCTGGCCTCCTCCTGTTTCCCCCTGGCCCTGGGGGGCCTTCTGACCCTCCAACCCACCTCAGCCTCTCCCGGTCTGATGAAAGGCGTGGGACCCTGAACGGGGTACCAGCCCCCTGCACCCGCCACGACTTTTCCTTTGACCGGGTGTTCCCGCCTGAGAGTGGACAGGAAGAGGTGTTTGAGGAGATTGCTATGCTTGTCCAGTCAGCCCTGGATGGCTACCCAGTGTGCATCTTTGCCTATGGCCAGACAGGCAGTGGCAAGACCTTCACAATGGAGGGTGGGCCTGGAGGAGACCCCCAGGTAGAAGGACTTATCCCCCGGGCCTTGCGGCACCTCTTCTCTGTGGCCCAGGAGCTGAGTGGCCAGGGCTGGATGTACAGCTTTGTGGCAAGCTATGTTGAGATCTACAATGAGACCGTCCGAGACCTGCTGGCCACTGGGGCCCGGAAGGGCCAGGGGGCTGAGTGCAAGATTCGCCGGGCTGGGCCAGGGAGCGAGGAGCTTACTGTCACCAATGCCCGCTATGTCCCCGTCTCTTGTGAGAACGAGGTAAGTGGCCCTGGGCACTGGGGAAGGAGGAGTGGGCAGTGTGACACAGGAGGCAGAGGGAGAGGGGAGCGGAAAAGCAAGTTGGAGGAAGAAGTGGTGAGGTTTTGATCTTGGGGTGGTGGGCTCTCAGAGGTCTGCTTGAACAGGAACGGGTGGGTGCGGGGGTGGGGGGGTGGGAAGGGTGTGTGCGTGTGTGTGCAGCTGTGGAAGCGGGAAGGGCTCTGGCTCTCTGTCTGATGCAGCTCCGACCTCACTTCCTGCTGCTCCCCATCTCTAGGTGGAGGCCCTGCTCCATCTGGCCCGCCAGAACCGGGCTGTAGCCTGCACATCCCAGAATGAGAGATCATCTCGCAGCCACAGTGTGTTCCAGCTGCAGATCACTGGGGAACATGCCGGCCGGGGCCTCCGGTGCGCCGCCCCACTCAGCCTGGTAGACCTGGCTGGAAGTGAGCGGCTAGATCCCGCCTTAGCCCTTGGAACTGAGGAGCGAGAAAGACTCCGGGAAACACAGGCCATTAACAGCAGCCTGTCCACCCTGGGGCTGGTCATCATGGCCCTGAGCAATAAGGTGGGAATGTGTGGGTATGGGTAGCTGGGGTAGGTTGGGTCAGCTCGTACTGTCCTATCAATCCTGATCATCTGTTCCCTGGCCACCCTCTAGGAGGCCCATGTGCCCTACCGCAACAGCAAGCTGACCTACCTGCTGCAGAACTCCCTGGGTGGCAGTGCTAAGATGTGAGTAAGAGTTGATGGGAGTTGTGGGGTAGGAACTGAGACTAGACAGGTATTTGGGGTGGGGCCGGGGGGCTTGGAGGACTGCTCTAGACTCCACCCAGCCACTGATAGGAGCTTGGCACCCTCTGATTCTTTCCACAGGCTCATGTTTGTGAACATCTCTCCCCTAGAAGAGAATTGCTCCGAGACCCTCAACTCCCTGCGCTTTGCCTCCAAGGTACGATTACCACTACACAAAGGCCCTGTCAGGACCCTGCATTCAGACCTCTCTGTACTCTGAGGTTGGGGGTGGGGGGGGGTGGGGGTTAGAATGTTCATCCAGTAAGGATTTACATTTGATTCAGCCAGGTGTCTGAGACAAGCATTACCCACCTGGATCCATGTGAATATGAGCTTTGGGGTGTTTTCATTAAGCTTTTAAAAGTAGGCAATTAAAAGGCAAAAATGATATAGAAGGCTAATTAATACATAATACATGAAATCTTACCATCACCGTTTTCATCGTTGTATTTATCCTGCCAGCTTCTGGCTGCAAATACAAGCTGCTCTGTACATGTTCTTATTCTCCTTATAGAAGAAATCCCTATCCCTCCCTCTAGTCACGTGTACGTACACTTCTCCGCCTGCTCTCTGAGCCCTGACATGAGTCCCCATCAGCAGAGTTCCTCAGGTCTAGCTCGCCACTGTGTGGGTGCACCAACATTTATCCGCCAGTTCCCCCTGCTGGACACTTGGGTTTATGCCATTCTTTTACAAACAAGACCACGCTGATGAACCCTGTATATACGGCAATCTGTGTCTTGTTAAGTTTAACACTTGAGGGAGAGATTTCCAGAGTGGATTTGCTAGACCCAAAGAGTTTTACAGGACATGTGAATTCAGATTCTGAACCCCATGAGGGTCAGCTGGTTGCTGTCAGAGGAAGCCAGCCTCTAACAGCCGAAGGGTCACTAGGCGCAATTGTACGGGTACAATATATAAAGATTACAGTAAAGGCTTAGAGGATAGGAACGATAGGAGAGTGTAATAAGGGAGTCAGACACATTTCATGGTAGCACGCTCACCTCAGCCCCTCTTGGTGGTCCACATAGAGGTGGGAGAAGAGAGCCTTTGGGGTATTTATAGGTAGCCACGAGACATGCATATGCACTAGTTACATATGTCACAGGGTGGGTGGAATCTACAGGAAGGCCCCTGAGCTCACAGGTGAGGAACCCTAATAGCTGCATCTGGGGGAAGGTGTGAGAGGGCGGGGTGACAAGGTGGAAAGAGATGATGGCTGCTTCTGTAGGGAGACCACATCAACCATGTGCTCACTTTAAGGCAGCACAGCTGTTAGGGGAGAGTCCGTGGGAACGATACTTAAAGCAGGATAATGTGCTTGGACTTGATCTCTAACTGGCCAAAGTGGAGGCTTTCCTACCGTGGAACACCCGCTTTCCAGATTCCTCTGTGATCAGTTAGGGAATACAGCCCTCGTCATATTCCCAGTGTTAGTTTCCCACAGGTGGCCATCACAGCTGGAGACTTGTACTCCCTCCAGCAGTCAGACGGCACCGGGCTAGAACCAGCCTCGGCTAAGCCCATGTTTCCACATTTTGGAAAGGCGGGCTCTCATGGGAAAACAAACAAAACAACTATTCTTTTGGTTACTCTACAAACTTTCATCCCCATCTGCCCACAGGTGAACCAGTGTGTAATTGGTACTGCCCAGGCCAACAGAAAATGAAGATGGATCCAGAGCCTGTGGAGTGTCTGTCTGTCTACATGTGTCAACTCTTACACCTGTATCTGTTTGGGGACAGGGGTGTTGTATGGGGGGAGGGGGAGGAAAATAAAGATTTTTAAAGTAAAGGGATTATTAGTAGACACCCTAGGAGGAAACCATGTTTTCACATTTCAAGAACTGCAGACTTGTCTACTTTGCCGTATCATTTGTGTGTTATGGGATGAAGGCAGCCGTTTACACCGCCCGCCCCCCCCCACACCCACCCCCCTGCTGAAGTCTGAAGAGGGCCTTCATTTCCCTGCGGTTCTGCAGCCGGCCCGGCCCATCGCCCCTCACATCCTTTGGAGGAAGTGCGCCCCTAGCCACCGCTCCTCCGTGGCCACCTTCACTGTAACGGCCTGCCAGTCCGTGCCCCCAGCGCCTGGCCCGCGCGCTCCTTTGATGGGTGTCGGAGCGGAAGCCGAGGGGCCGACTGCTGGCTCTTCCCGCCCTTTGCCGGCCTTGCTGTTCGAATCGCCGGGGTCGGCCTCGCCGCCTGTCGTTGGCTGGCTGCCGGTGACGTCACGGCATGCGCCGGCGCGCTCGCACTGGCCCCCGGGGCGGGAGGGAGGCGGG